TCTACACAACATAAGTACATGTATATGCATCAGAAAACATTATAAAAATCAAAAAAAATTCTTTTAATTTTTGACAAATTTTGGCTAGCAACCCTGACTTTGGCTCGATTTTGGAGAAACTTTAAAAATTCATAAAAAATTTAATTTTGATCGGAATTAGTTTAAACTTTTTACACAACATAAGTACATGTATATGCATCAAAAAAATTTATAAAAATCAAAAATTTTCTTCTTGTCATTTTTGACAAAATCAGACCAAAGTCCCTGTACTATAGTACAGGGACTTTGGCCCGATCTTGAAGAAACTTTAAAAATTCATAAAAAATTTAATTTTGATCGGAATCAGTTTAAACTTTTTACACAACGTAAAAACATGTATATACATCAGAAAAAATTATAAAACTGAAGAATTTTTCCTAGTCAATTTGGATGAAATTTGGTCAGTGACCCTGTACTATAGTACAGGGACTTTGGCTCAATTTTGGAGAAACTTTAAAAATTCATAAAAAATTTGATTTTTATCAAAATTAGGTTAAACTTTTTACACAACATAGGAACATGTACATGCATCAGAAAAAAATATAAAAATAGAGAATACTTTCTTTTTCAATTTCAGTGAAACTTGACCCAAAACCATGTACTGTAGTACAGAGTTTTGGCCTGATTTTTAGCAGCTTTAAAATTTCATTAAAAAATTAATTTTGATTAAAATAAGCTCAAACTATGTATGCAACATAAGTACATGTATAAGAAATTGAGAATGTAATAAAAATAAGTTCTAATTTATTTGCCAAATAATTTGTCTTGTACTCATTGTTGCTCACAACATTCAAATTTTTAACCAAAAGTGTTCCATGCTAAAAATTAGCAATGGCAAAGTAATGTAATAATTATGCATTGTTTGCATTGATAATTTTAGGTAGAAAATGTGACAATCCAAGCTGTCAGGGGATCTTATGTGACACAATAATAAACTTTGGAGAAGACCTTCCAGACAGTAAGAGAAAGATAAAATTAGACAAAAAAAATTATAACTAAAATCTTCCTTTTTAATTTTCTTAACTAGGTGAGTTGACAAGAGGTACAGAAGAAGGTGAAGTGGCAGACCTTTGCTTAGCAATGGGATCCAGTCTCACTGTCACTCCAGCGGCTGACATACCAGAGGTCAGTTAGTATAGCGTCTCACATGATAGTCACATGGTACCATTATTACAGTGTGTCGCTGAGAGAGGAGAAAAGCTAGTTATAGTTAACCTGCAGAAGACACCATTGCACAGTATGGCTGCACTATGCATTCATGCTAAATGTGAAGAAGTATCCACAATGGTAATGGAGAAGCTTGGATTGCCTATACCTGAGTTTAGACTTAAGAGAAGAGTATTCATTAAAGTGACACAAAGTACTAAAGGACCTCCTGAGGAACAGGTTTCTTTATCAATAGAAGGACAGGACATGTATGGATTCTATTTCTCATTCCTAACTGGAGTTAGTTAAAACTTAAAAAAAATTTTTCAATTTATTTTAAAGGTTACAGTGTCTGTGGGTGAAAGACCTCAACAGTTGCAAGAGCCTTTCTCTATCAGGTTTCCATGGAGAGCATCAGCTGGTGCATCATCTGATGAAATGAAGGCTCAGTTGACGTTTCATTTTCAAGGACATTATGGTGAACCACCACTTGATAAAGAACTGATTATTAAAAAGGGAGTGAAAGGTAATTAGCAAAATAATGATTATTTTTTTCTAAATAATTATTAATTTTTTCTAAATA